GTAATTTGCCCTTGTGGGAGTTCCTTACTGTCAGTTGACAGAGAAAGAGAATACCTGGGTCTGGTTTACAGATAATTCTGCACAATAAGGAGGCACCACCTGAAACTTGACAGCTGTGACACTATAGACCCTCTCTGGAACATCACTGAGGGACAGTGGTAAAGAAAAATCTTCTCAGTGCAAGTAGTACATCTGGTTGCTCACATGGAGAGAGAAATGGGAAGATGAGCAATTATATAATCTGCTTCATGGTCTGTGGTCATTGGTTTGGCTACATGGTCAAGCACTTGAAAGAATCATGATTGGAATACTGGTGTCAAAGAAACGTGGGAAACAGATATATAGATTAAGCCTTTCTGAGTGGGAAAAAAACATAAAAATATGTGTTCCCTGTGAATTCCCACCAAAGAGTGACCTCATCAGAAGAGGATTTTAATAAGCAAGTGACTAGGATGACACATTCTGTGGATACCAGTAAACCTTCTCCCCACCTATCTGTGTCATTGCCCAACGGGTTAATGAACAAAGTGGCCATGATGGCAGGGATGGAGGTGATTCATGGACTCAGCAACATGAACTTCCACTCCCCAAGACTGAAAGGGGACAGTCCCTGAGCCAGTGGCAGAGACAAACACTGAATCCTCAATATGAACTATTCCCAGGGTGATCAGCCACTATCTGGTACAGGTTGATTATACTGAATCACTTCCATTGAAGAAGGGGCAGTATTTTGTCCATCCTAGAATAGACACTTTGGATATGAATTTGCCTTCCCTGCACACAATGATTTTGCCAAAACTACTACCTGTGGACTCACAGGATGCTTTATTATCCACTGTCATCGTTTCCACACAGCATTGCTTCTGACCAAGGGACTCACTTCACAGACAAAGAAGTACATTAATGGGCTTATGCTCATAGAATTCACTGGTCTTACCATGTTTCCCATAATCCTGAAGCAGCTGACTTGATAGAATGGTGGAATGACTTTTTGAAGTCACAGCTACAGCACCAGTTAGATGACAACACTTTGCAGGTCTAGAGCAAGGTTCTCCAGAAGGCAGTATATGTTCTTCTGAATCAGCATCCAGTATATGGTGCTATTGCACCCATATGGAGGAACCACAGATCCAGGAATCAAGGATTGAAAATGTGAGTGGCACCACTCACCATCACCCCTAGTGGCCCACCAGCAAAACTTTTGCTCACTGTGGCTGGGCTACCACAGAGAAACTGAACTACTACATCACAATGGAGACAAAGAATATGTTTGGGATACAGAAGATCCCTTAGGGCATCTGTTAGCACTAACCTGTCCTGTGATTAAGGTCAATGGGAAACTACAACAACCCAACACAAGCAGGACTATGAATGGCCCAGAGTCTTCAGGAATGAAGGTTTGGGTCACCCCACCAGGTAAAGAACCATGACCGACTGAAGTACTTGTTGAAGGCAAAAGGAATACAGAATGGATAACCGAAGAAAGTGGTGGCTGGGCTTGGTGGTTCAGCCTATAATCCCAGCACTTTGGGAGTCCAAGGCGAGTGGACTGCCTGAGCCCGTGGGTTCAAGAGCTGCCTGGGCAACTTGGCAAGACCTTGTCTCTATAATAAATCAAAAATTAGCTGAGCGTGGTAGTGCACACCTGTAGTTTCGGCTACTTAGAGGGCTGAGGTGGAAGGATCGCTGGAGCCCAGCAGGTCGAGGCTGCGGTGACCGGGAAGGGCCACTGCACTCCAGTCTGGGCGACAGAGTGAGACACCAACTCAAAAAAAAAAAAAAAAGAAAAAGAAGAAAGTGGTTATGAATACCAGCTACTACCACATTACCAGTTACAGAAACAAGGACCGAAATTGTCATGAGTATTTCCACCCTATTTTACTAAGAATACATTTGTATGTAAATACACATGCATTAAGCAAATATCCTTGTTTTCTCTCTTATTCTTATATCATGTAACACAGGATTTATTGCCTTTATATCAGCAATTAAGTATTGTTAGTTTTACATCACATTTGAATTATGCTAAATCAGAAGAGTAAATATCACTTAAGAACTTTATCTTCTCTTCTGAAGATAGGATTAGTTTGTACTCAGTTGTATGCAGAATAGTTATATCATGTTCTGCAGATTTATGATCATGTTATTGTCTTTATTTGGAGATTAAGTATGGTTTAAAGAGATGTATATGAGTGCCAAGTTGACAAGAGCTGGACTTGTGATGCTTAACTTTAGATGTCAACTTGACTGGATTGAGGGATGCTTAGATACCTAGTGAAGCATTGATTTTGAGTGTGTCTATGAGGGAGTTTCCAGAGGAGTCTACCTGTGAATCAATAGACTGAGAGAGGAAGGCCCACCCTCAATGTAGGTGGGTACCATCCAATCAGCTGGGAGTGGGCAAAGCAGCAGAAGGGAGGTATTCAGTTATCTCTGGCTTCCTCTGTTTCCTATCCAGAGCAAGATGCCTCTTCCTCCTTCTACACTTGGACAATAGAATCCAGATTCTCTGGCCTATGTTATCCAAGACTTGTACCAGCGGCCTCCAGGGAGCTCTACAACCATCAGCTTTACTGGGGGCTACATTGTTGGCTTTCCTGGTTTTGAGTCTTTCAGGCTTGGACTGAGCCATGCCACTGACTTTTCTGGGAGCCATGCTACCAACATCTCTGATCCTCCAACTTGTAGACAGTCAATTGTGAGACTTTTTGCCTTTGTTGATTATGTGAGGCATTATTTCTGTCTCCAGAGAGCCTTGACTAATCTGGTAATAGCTAATTTTTTTGTTTTTGCTTTTTCCTGGAAAGGGTAGAGCCAGAGAGTAAGAATACATATACTTATTTGTGAAAATACATTCTTTAATATTAGACTTCAGTCAATCTTAGCTACTAGTTATTGGAGTGCTCCTATTAGTCAAGTACAACCAATTATTAAATCAACCAATTACAGAAAAAAGACAGAAAAGCAGCTCTCAAAAAAAGACTTTTTCCAAGAGGGAAATAACTTGGCTAACTTTAAACTGAATTATATAGTAGACATATATTCAACCATTTGTGATCTGAGACACCAGAATAGATGCCCCTTTATCCACTAAGATGAACCCTAAGGCTAAGGAAACTCTACTGGTTGAGGGTTCAGACCTCTGCTGCCATGGCAGCTTCCTAAAGTCCTATGGCTACAAGAAAAACCGTACTCCCTAACAACAGGAGCCATCAGGCAAACTGTCAAACCCTTCCTAACTCTTATTTACAACATAGACCACTATAACTCTGATTGTACAAACAACCAGACTTACAAACATTTTTTTCTGGTGAACAGCTGCAGACTTCAAGGCAGTTTCAGCCAGCTTATAGAGATGCACAAACTGTCTTTGTGTCCTATAGCTTACTTTTTGACATAAAGAGCCAGTTCCTACCTATTTTAATGCTAAAATCTCACCTTAAAATGAACATGGGATGTATGTAACATATACTTTTACCCATTGTCACGCACCTGACTTCTCTTATAAATATGAATAGTTTTTTCCCAAACCTGCTAAATATGTGAAATACAGACCAACCTGCCCTTTCCCTCTTTGAAGAGAGAACATCTTTAGTCCACACCAGAGACTGTCTCTTTCCAGTTTGCAAGCTGATACAGTCAATAAAACTCTCCTTTCTGCTATTTGACTATCCTGGTGGTCTTTTGGATGACACATTTTACCCCTGCCATTCACTCCCACTATAATATCAACACTTTTTTTCAAAGATATCTGTCCCTAAATTCTTATGAATCATTTTTTTAATGGCAGAGAATCAGCAAAGCATTTGTTCAAAAGGATAAATGGTATATGAAATCCACACTAGCTATTTGATTTTTTTTTTTTTTTTTTTTTTGAGTTGGAGTCTCACTCGGTCACCCAGACTGGAGTGCAGTGACCACTTCCGGCCACCGCAGCCTCGCCTGCTGGGCTCCGGCAATCCTTCTGCCTCAGCCTTCTGAGTAGCCGGAATTACAGACATGCGCTACCACGCCCAGCTGATTTTTTGATTTATTGTAGAGATGAGGTCTCGCTGCCCAGGCGGGCCTCGAGCCCGCAGGCTCAGGCAATCCACTCACCTCAGCCTCCCAAAGGCACGGGATTACAGACTGAGCCACCGAGCCCAGAACTATTTGACTTTTTAAAAAAGGGACATCGAAACTAAAAGCAGGTTGATAGTTTTTATGGCAGAAATGACAGAATTAGTGATTAGCTGCTCAAAGAAAATTTATTGGCACTCATCATATTATCTCAGTAAAGAAAAATACCACAAAGTGCTATTAAAACAGATGTTTAAAAGCATAAAGTGCTGATGTAGCCACCAGATGAATCTATTCCCCAGCAGCTGAACCAGGTCAACGAAGGAAATTGTAGCTGTTATTTACATGGTTCATGATATCTATTGAGCAATCTGCAAAAATGGATTCCCTTTCTCACAGAGGACACAGTAGATTTGCAGCAGGTATATCAGCATCTCCAAGTCTTTTGTTCAAAACAGAGTTGTTACCATACATGAGGTTTTATTTAAAGGTATTTACAGATGGACAAACTTATACTTCTGTGAATTGGTATTTGTTTCTGGAAAAAAGCACTTATTTTAACAACCTAGAGAAAATGATGTAAATAAATTATTTTTAAAATTGTAATTAACATTTATAACCAACTACATTTGTAGAAATTACTGTGGTAAAATCATGAAGATAAATATGTGTTATATTTTACTTAATTTTCAAAATACTTTGCTTTTGTTACTGAAATTTTTGTGATCCTTATATTCATCAATGGTGATCTTAAGATGATGCATTTTTCTTTTTAATTGAACTTATATTTTACTTCACTTGCATTGTTGTCTAGATTCTTAGAAGGCTCAGTTTTAGTTGATTTGAATGAATCTAAGGAAGTATTATCTTGAAAGGTATTAATATTGTCTACTAGCAAATAGTATGTATTTAGATATACAATTTTATTATATTCTATATATAAAAATGATATTCTGTGATTTATTTTAAAAATAATATAAAATAAAATTATGCTTCCTTTTTGTTTACTTTTTCTTATTAACATTGTTTAATAATGTTAACAACAACAAAAAAATTCTGTATAGAAATACAGAGCTAGAGGGGTTAATGCTCTTATACCAGATATAACATGATTTTCAGGTAGAATTGCATTCTGTCATTTCTTAATCTCTGAGAAGTTATCCAGAAAAATATTTAAGACTATGTATGTGTTTATCTTACAAGTTATAATCATGCTCAATATAATCTTATTTTTTGTAACCTAATACAAACATCATAAGTAATTTCCTTAACTTTATATAGACATTATAGTAGACTATAGGAGTACAATTTTTACTGAATATGGGTTTAAAGTAACTCTTAATTCATTGAAGACTGAGTTTTTTCTGTTTATTTATTTTTTTTTTTTATTTTTATTTTTTTTTGAGTTGGAGTCTCACTCTGTCGCCCAGACTGGAGTGCAGTGGCCGCTCCCGGCCACCGCAGCCTCGGCCTGCTGGGCTCCGGCGATCCTTCCACCTCAGCCTTCCGAGTAGCCGGAATTACAGGCATGCGCCACCACGCCCAGCTGATTTTTTTGATTTATTGTAGAGATGAGGTCTCGCTACCCAGGCGGGTCTCGAACCCGCGGGCTCAGGCAATTCACTCACCTCAGCCTCCCAAAGGCGCGGGATTACAGGCTGAGCCACCGAGCCCGGCTTTTGTTTATTATTTACATGACTTTATACTGACTCCATCTCCAGTCTGGGAAATTTATAAAAAATATGTATAAATATATATTTGAGTTGGGATCTCATTCTGTCACCCAGGCTGAAGTGAGGTGGTACCATCATGACTCAGCATAGTTTCACGTTTCTGGGTTCCAGTGATCCTTCTGCCTCAGCCTCTAGAGTAGCTGGAACTATAGGCTCAGGTCACCACAACTGGTTTTTTGTTTTTTAAAAATTTTTTGTCGAGATGAGGTCTCTCTGTGTTGCCCAGGCTGGTCTTGAACCTCTGGGCTCAAGCAATCCTTCTGCCTCTGCTTCCCAAAATGCTGGATTACAGGCATGAGCTATCGTGCCCAACTGAAGATATATTTTTAAGAAAATAATATTATACACTGAAAAAAACATACTGAAACATAAATACTGAAAGTTATGCCATAAAAATTACTCATATTTATTTAGCTGTACACAAATGTAGCATACATTTTGTATATGGACACAATATATGTCATAAGTTCTGAGTGATCCAACTAAAATGATGGTAAAGAGAGCATTAACTAAAATTGTTAACCATAACAGTTAGTGCTCAGAGATAGAAAAAACATCTCTGTAATACTCAATAAGGACCATTTGTTAGGGTTCCCTTTGACTATATGGAAAAAACAAGATGCATGCCTTGAATGAAAAGGATCAGGGGAATCTTCTGGGAAGAACTTCCTCTATCCAGTCTATATCCAACTTTGAGCAAAATCTCAGAGTTTTTCCAGATACGTTATCTTCACAGATCACCTACACTTCCAGCGTTGATAAGTAGCAGATATTCTGACAACCCATCTTCCTACCAGCCCAGATTCCTTCTTGTGTTAGTCCTACCACCCTCAGGAAGAAAGTTTCTTCATCATCACCAAGCCAACTAATAATCACTAGTGAATGCAGGACCTCTCCCTCTACCTTCGTTCCTACTTTTATTGTCCATGCAAATACAATGGGCAGGACACACACACACACACACACACACACACACACACACACACACACAATCACTTAAAATGCCCTAAGTTCTGCTGCTGTCAGAATCCTTTCACCAGTAAACAGTTTGGACACAACTTTTGCTCTGGAAAGAAGTTTAGAAAATGTAACTAAACCAGCTAGTCACAACTAACTTCTAGAGCATGGCTTTGAATTTTGACAAACTGGATGCAAAGTCCAGCTTTTCAAAGACTGTGTGAATTTAGACAAATAATTTAGGTTCTCTGATCGTCAGTTTCATCAGATTACAATTTTTTTCTTGCAGAGTTGCTGTAATAAATTTTTGTATAAGTGACCAATAGGCAAGTAAATAAATGATATATAATTTCACGCCCAAATTCATAAATTTCAATACTTTAAAATAAAAATGTCTACGAGGTATTGCTAATCTGATGAGCATATTTGTAAACTCATTGAATTAGTTATGCTAAGAGTAGACAGAAATAGATATGATGATGCAATTATACTAGTCTTTGAGTTTCACAAGAAATTGTTTCCTTTTTCTGTGTTTATTTTTACCCTAATGTTTATTATAGGAAACTATGAAAAGTAATGAGACAGAATTTGTAACACATGTATGAACTTGTAATGCCAGTGACTTACCTGGTTCCCTCAGACCTCATCTCATCTTAGTAAAATAGTGATATCTCATTCATAGGACTGTTTGGCCAACTAAATGAAATAATGACTGTGATAAAATTCAGTGTATTGCCTGACACACAATTATGTACTTAGTCAAATATGAATCTACATTCTGTTTGGCATTAATACATGAATACCAACATAATTACAAAAATAACTTGCCATACATAATATGCAATATTGCATTTTAAGATATTTCAAATATAAACAATAAACATAATATATGTGGTTTAATTAGTGAAATATCCCAATGTATTAAAATGTGCTAATCATAATGTAGATTTGATCTTTTAAAAATGTTAAGACTTCTCATCAATTTTAACTGTTTCATCTATTTCCAATGGGGAAGATTTCTGGTTTTGTTTTTTAATTTTTCAAGCAATGATAAAAAACTTATTTTTAAAAATTGTTTCCTGAGAAAATTTATAAGCTTTTATAGCAATAAGCATAAATGTAAATAAACTTATTTGATTACAATATTGTTACATAGTCAATATCATTTCAAATAAATAATAAAATGTTAAAAAATAAATAAACTAACTCAGCAGTCATATGATGATTTTCTGATTACATAGGTAGATAATAAGTGCAGTGATTAAGTTTTGTTTTTTTAAATGTCCTCAGGGTAATAGAAAATTAAGTTTTTCATAGAAATTTGAATGAAGTTGAAAATAGTAATAAATCATTATCAATTCAATCTCAAGGCATGCTTGAAGAATTATAGATGCCATTTTAGGGCAACTCTCAGGCTTTATACTTTGCTGAATTGATTAAGTTCTAAGTCAAAACTAAATTTTTTTCTTTTTTTTGAGTAATTGAGAGTATTTTAGAAGCAGAGTGAGAAAAGAAAGAGTGAGAGATCTGGTATCAAGAGAAATGTGAGCCTCAATAAGGTTTAAGGTTTTGGAGAGTGAAGAGATGAGTAGTGGCTAGAAATTTACATTCTTCCCCAAGGTTTAACATTAAGACAACAAAGTATCCAATGTACTTAGAACTGTATTATTTTTTGGAGGTTTATGATAAAGTCTTGAGCCTATGCTTGGTGTGAGCAGTGTGAAGTCAACCAGTCAAATTCTGTTTATACATCAAACACCTACTAGGTGAGAGCTGTCAGAATTAAAGTACTGTCTCCACAAGCTGTTCCCTCTCTGGTACACAAGGTCTTTGGCTTATTCTCCCCCCATCATCTCTGTTCAGTAATGCTACATCCAACCCACTGCTCTTCCTCATTGCTACCTTATCTACTTCCCAAATTTCCACTTCTTACCCCAGAGTTTTCAAAGGCCACAGAACTCCTGCAAAATCCTTCAGGCATTACAGAGTAAAATTACAGCAAGTTACTAGGTTTGGGATGTCAGAAAACACAGTAAGTGCAGACATAAAATAAGAGGAAAAATTTGGGGGGAATATCCCCCACATTTAATTTTCTCTTTTGTTATTTATCAGTAGATTTTTAGGTCATTTAGCAAACAAAGAAAAACATGGTACAAAACAGTGGATAATACCAACCCATTTATATGGACTCATCATTAAAATCAGACTTCCATAGTACAGAGCCAACTCTCCTCTAATCAACATGGACTGAGTTCTTAGCTAGCCCTGAGCAGAGCCACCAGAGAGCTAACGCTAAGCACCCCATGAGTTTTGTTCTCAAAAAACTATAGGTATTTATAGGAGGCCTCTGTAAATATTTGTGTAATGACTTCATTAGTGGTTCTCAATCTTTCCATAGATTTTACACTTGTAACATATTCTAATCATAATATTTCATAATATTCAGCAGTACTCATTAGATGATGGGAATGTCAGAATCTCCATAAGATGTGTGTAGTTGATCTCCTCTTCATCTTCACTCTTACTAAAGCCCTGATTTGGGTAGGCCCTCTGAAAATGCATTTCTCTTCTCATTTTGAGAATGCAAGGCAGAATATAAGTACTCCAACTACAGCATGAATAAGACAAATATGTTTACAAAACGAGGTGATACGTTTTTTGGAGAAGATCGCATCTTAACTGAATCTTGGAAGAAAGGGAGGATTTTAATAAACAGAATGGAGAAGAGGGCCCAAGAAGAGCATTCTATGGGGAGGGAAGAACAAAGATAAAGTAGAGAGATGGGAAAATCCAAGGCATGGTTGAACTTCGGGTTGGGTGAAAAGAGTAACCTTATGTTCCAGGATGC